AGCAAAAAACCAAATAATCCCATGAAAAAATGGGAAGAGGACCTGAATAGACATTTTTCCAAAGATGACATACAGATGGCCAACAAGTACACGAAACAGTGCTCAACATCACTAATCATCAGGGAGATGCAAATCAAACCACAGTGAGTATCACCTCACACCCGTCAGAATGGCTGTTATCAATAAGATAAGAAATAAGTGTTGGTGAAGATGTGGAGAAAAGGGAACCTTGATGATCTGTTGGTGGGAATATAAATTGGTGCAACCACTATGGAAAATATATGGAGGTTACTCAAAAAATTAAAAATAGAACTACCATACGATCCGGCAATTCCACTTTTAGGTATTTATCTAAAGAAAACAAAAACACTAATTCAAAAAGATATATGCACCCCTATGTTCATTGCAGCATTATTTATATTAGCCAAAATATGGAAGCAACCTAAGTGTCCATCGACAGATGAATGAACAAAGAAGATGTGGTATATATACACAATGGAATATTACTCAGCCATAAAAAGAATGAAATCCTCCCATTTGCAACAACATGGATTAATCTAGAGGGTATTATGTTCAGTGAAATAAGCCAAACAGAGAAAGAACACCATGTGATTTCACTTATATGTGGAATCTAAAAAAAAAAACAAAACAAATGAACAAACGAAACAGAAACAGACTCATAGATACAGAAAGTAAACTGATGGTTGCAGGAGAGGAGGGGGATGGAGGGTGGGCGAAATAGGTAAAGGAGATTAAGAGGTACAACCTTCCAGTTACAAAAAAAAAAAATAATAAGTCATGGGGATATAATGTACAGCATAGGGAATATAGTCAATAATATTGTAATAATTTTGTTTGATGACAGATGGTAACTAGTCTTATCAGAGTGATCATTTTGCAATGTAAATAAATGTTGAATCACTGTGTTGTACATTAGAAACTAATGCAGCATTGTATGTCGACTATACTTCGATAGAAAAGAAAACCTGTTCTTTGCTCCAGAGGGAAACATAAGCTCCATCTTCCAGGGCTGTTAGCCATACAAACATCTTTGAGAAGATAATCCTGAACAAAGGGCAGTCAGCACTTTCCTTCACAAGACACGCAGAAAGGTGAGACGCTCATGGAAAATTCTTCCCCAAGGCCTACCACCACCTGCTACCCTTGTATATTTGCATAAGAAACTGAGTAAAGATTTTTAATTGCTTTAAATTATACATTTCCTCTCAGAACTGTTGTTTTTGTTTTATTTTGTTTTTAATATGAGATCTGAGAGAACTTGGATCACAAGGCTATATTGGGTTATAGCGGTTAAAAACGTTGGATAATTCCATGTGCCCGTGGAAAGAGAAATTACAACTCAATCTTTTTAGCAGAAGTTTCCTACTTTAATCAGGGACTAAGACTTAATCAACCAACATCAACTTGCAGAGATAATGAACACTTACAGAAAACAAGGCAGTTTAAACAACCCCACAAAGTTGGTTTGGTGGCCAGCATTGTGGGGAGGGTCCTTTGATATTTCATTCCAGTGCAAAAAAATTTCCTATGTCAGAAAATTCTTCATATTCAACCTTGAGTCTTGCTATTTGCAGCTTTAACCCGTCTCCTCTTAAAATGTCCTCAGGGATATTTCTTTCACATGATCCTTTGTACCTTCCAGAAGGAAGGAAAATAAAAGACTCTCATGATCCTCCTCCCTAATAAACTCTTCTGAAAGAAATTTGCCCTGTTGTTGATACACCAAGCCCAAAAAGAAGATTCTTTGGTAAACTTTAGTTTTCCAAATGAGATAAGTTCTATCCATATTAAGTTATTCTCACGGAAGTAAATGGAAAGGTGTTTATCACCTTTGGAGAAATATTTGCATTTCATATTTTATTTATAATAAAAGGCTAAAATAGAAGTTCCAGCTGAAGCGCCAAGATAAAAATAGGTGAAAAAAGTGGTATAAGACAATATGCAAAATTTACAACGGAGTAAGCCAAAAACCTGTTATGCGACTCTTGAAATTCTTTCTGAGCATTAAAATTATAAAAGATCAGATTGTTGGATATTGGTGAGAATTTGTGAAGAGGATTTCTTTGGAGATAGCTGTTGCTGCTCTGTGACCCCAGTCTTTCAATGTCCCCCTGGGTTTGGGGGAAGGCTGACCCTCATCTCACAGCGAGAGAGAGCTTTGAGGAGACTCTTCTGGAGGGAAGCAATCCTCCCAACTGATTTGCCAGCAGGGCGAACAAGAGTTTGCTGCCACATTTGGGATCAGCCTTCATTTTCAGAGTTTGTTTAAGCAAAGAACGTTTCCTATAGACCACATGTGGGCCTAGAGCCACCATGTGTGTTGTGCAGGTTGTGTGCTGTCAAGAATGCAACATCTAATGGTGGGTAAGGGGATAGATTCTTTTACATGGTAGTATATTTATTTTCTGGCACATGGCAGTAGAGGGTCTTGTTCTAACAAAACCAGTACGTATTACCACAATTTCCCAGCAGGTAGAAACAAAGTGTCTTGAAGAACATGCGCTTCTTTCTAATAAATACAAAAGCACCAGATGGGTCAGCAGTGGCACTATGTGGTCTTCATGTGGGTGTGTGTGTGAGAGAGAGGGAGAAAGAGAGAGAGAGCAGGCCAGCATAGGGATGGTCTTGAATCCATTCAATATAGCTACCTGGAGAGGTTCATGAGACCTCAGCAAACAGGCTAGAAGTAGACCACCGGATTGTAAGAGTCTGCAAATTGCGTAAGCAAGAACATTCAACTGGAACAAGAGAACTACAGATGAGAAACCCCCAACCATGAGAGGAAATGAGTGACAAAAGAAAGCATCCCAAGAGAGAAAGAGTTCATTTTGAATACTGGCAAATCTCCTGCAAGAGTAGATGTCAAGCAAGAACCTTCTTGCCTTCTTCCCCATCTCTCTTCCTTCCTTCCTGTTTCAACTGCCAGGGTCAGTCCCATGGGCTGGCAAGAAGAAAGAGTGAAGCCAGCACATATGTAATATGCTAACAAAGAGTGACTGGAAACCACTAGAGGAATGTTGGTCTCAAAGTTTTCTCTCATACATCTGACGCCCTCCCATGCTTAAATGACTTCTGCACAATTCCAGAATCTATCTCTCACACACACATGGAAATTATGAGTTACACTTTTCCTTCAATTTCTAAAATTTGGTAAATTTTGACATTATTTTTTATGGTGTGATCGTTACCAGCAGATAGAAAATCATGAAATAGTGCAAATTAAAACCTAGGAAGGAAAGGTAAAAAGCAATTAAGCCTAAAAGGGCAAAGAAGATGAAAAGGTAAATACTAATAGAGCAGAATAAATGGAAACAGACCGGAGCAGACAAAAAGGCCAGCTTTCCAAGTAGGACAGCAAAGTATTTTTTAACTTCATTAGTACCTTATGATAGAGTCAATGAAAGCAAGATGGCTGACAGGTGGACTGAAGACACCACCTCTAGCATCTATCTAGTGCCCCTGAGGGGATCATGGGCAGATGTGCCAATCTGGAAGGTGTATAATGGAAGATCAAGCTGTCATGTTAAATAGCTAGGAAGCCGGGCCAGCTCCAGTGGCCTAGGGGTTAACTTGGGTGCGCTCTGCTTCAGCAGCCTGGGTTTGGTTTCTAGGCACAGACCTACACCATTCATCAGTGGCCATACTTTGGTGGTGGCTCACATACAAAAAAAAGAGGAAGACTGGCAACAGATGCTAGCTCAGGGTGAATCTTCCTCAGCAAAAAAAGAAAAAAAAAAAACAAGAAAAAGAAAAAGAATAAAGCTAGGATGCCAAGGAAATGGCTGGGACAGGAGACTTGAAAACATCAGGAAGATAGTCAGATCCAGAATGGACACTGAATGGACCTACATTAACAGAAGGCAGAAAACAAGCAGCACCAGAGGTTTGCCAGTTTCTCTCAGTACAAACCAGTCAGCCACCAACATATTTGAGAGAAAGAAGGTAACTTTGAAACCCAGGCAATTAAGCGGCAATCTTCCAAGGAGGGCACATTTGCCCTGGAGGTGTGCAAAGGTTTTAGACTGGGTACAAGGTCACAGACAGTTTTAAAGGAATCAGTTTTCATATCCTCTACTTTTATAGGCACTCTTTCTATACCTGGTCTGACTGATAACACCCTCTCCCCTTTCACAGTCACTTTTCTCACAAGTTGCAAAAGAAAGGTCTACCTCTGACCCATCTCAAATTTTAAAATGGTCCAGGACCAAACAAAGAGACAATTCAATAATTCCTTTAACCAAGGCCCCACAAACAGTTTCACATACATACTCCTCGAAGGATCTAATTAAGAGATGCATTTCCTGTATATTTTTAATTTTTTAATAATTATCAAGTGTTTTAATATATCTATACCATTTTGAGCAGCTGCAGACTATTAATATAGTGATAATTCAATGCCAAAGAAATATTTTAACATAATAACTTATTATCACAGAAAAATATATGTAATTTTTAACTTCAATTTATTTTTTTTGTTGTTATTGCAGTTTACCAGGGTGAATGTATCAGTCAGGGTTCTAAAGAGAAACAGGACCAATAGGAGATATAAAGAAATTATTTTAAGGAAGTGGCTCACGTGATCATGGGGGCTGGCAAATTGAAAGGTGTAGGGCAGTCTGGCAGGCTGGCAACTCAGGCAGGAATTAATGTTGCAGTTTTGAGGCAGAATTTGCTCTTCAGGAAACCTCAATTATTGCTCTAAGAGCCTTCAGCTTAATGGATGAATCATGGCCCACATTACCGAGGGTAATCTCATTTACTTACAGCCAACCGATTATCACTGTTAACCACGTCTGTAAAAAACCTTCACGGCAACACCTAGACTAGTGTTTGATTGAATAACTGGGTACTATAGCCCAGCCATGTTGACATAGAAAGCTAACCATCACAACGAACAACAACAGAAGTGCAAAAATATGCTACATTAGGATTAAATTCCGTAAGAGAAGTGGAATGAAAATACAATTTCAAGGCATAAAAGGAATAATGCAACATTTTTTAATAGCATGAATATCAAATCTTTTAAAAGAATATTTTAAAACACGTTACATCTTTGCAAAATTTTTAACTTATGATGAAAAATCAGATGCCAACATAAAAGGATGCAAAGGACATAGTATTGATTATCAATATTCCTTTAGGGTTCATGCAAGCAAAAGGTTTGAAGACAAGCTCTAGGGCAATGGAGTGTAGGGAAACTTAGGAACTCAGTCAGCCTGTACTGTACAGACGTATTAGCTGTGTGACTTTAGGACAATTACTTAAATGGAGGTCCTTGGTTTGGAGGTGGTTGTTTTAACGTGTTATAATAATAGCACCTACTTTATCCGGTTTGGGAGATTAACTGAGATAATATTTGCAAAGCACTTAGCATTGCTAAGAGTAACTCCTCAACAAATGCTCTTATTATTATTCAGCAGGTAACATTTGCAGAATGTAATCCACCAAGACCTATAATGCAAGAGCTCACAATACCTGGCTTGTCCCACCAGACGTGCCTTTCTCTGGTTCTCCTTCCAGGTCAAACCCCAGTGTTCCATGGGTAGACACTAAAGGACTGGTCCTTAATCCCAGCCTCAGCTCATAATGTATGGGTGCTCTATTGGAATCCTCAGATTTCTTCAGCATACATTGAACATTAGTTCTCTCTCCTGTACTGGATACATAGTGCAACCAGGCCTCTTCCTAATGGTTGCTCTTGTTCCTTAAAAGATCTCTACTCACCATGACCTTAAAGCTCCTTTGCTGAGCTATTCAATTATGAGAGAGCTTGCACACTTTAAAAACAATTTTTTTCCAGCTCAAATGATTTTGTTTGTCTAGAGGAGCTGTTAATGCTTTCAGGTGGTGTGCAGTAAATGATCACTCCATTTCGACTGTCATCTTTGCAGACTGAGCATGTTTACTTTGATGATTCCTTTCCAGATTTTTCCTGACCTTTATCAAGTGTGCTGTTCTTCTCCAAACTCTTGATTGTCAGCCAAATTGTAGTTCTGTGAACTCCCTGGGGCTGCCACTCCCTCACAGGTCAAATTTTCCCTCTCAGGCCTTCTACCTATAAAAATGAGAAACTATTGAACTATCCAACTATTTTCTGGAATTTTGTCTATTCATCCTAATAGACACTTTTACTCATACTAAATTATTTCTCCAAATTTAAGATTTGCTGTATTGTCAAGTTGAGCCCAGGAAATAGGCCTCTTCAAAGAGAGAACACGCAAAATATCACTTATTTTGATTTCATCAAAGATTTCTGTCAATTTGATCTTCATAGGGCATGGATTTTCTGAATCAATCTTGTTCATTTCCCTATTTAAATTTTAAAATTAAATCTTTTTTTAAAAAATTGCTTGAGTAATAATGCACTTTGGAGAAACTTCAGAGAAATGGAACAAAGGGGGAAAAAATCACATTTCCATCACCCAAAGACAACCATTGTTAACATTTTTGGATCTTTGAGCGAAAAACAAATCACCTCCCCCACTACATACACACACACACACACACACACACACTTTAAAAATAAAGGAGGAGAGAAAAAAACAGATCCCAATGTGACTTTCTGACTTTAAACCTTTGCAAACATTTGCACTTATTACCCCACAACCTTCATTTCCTTAGGCCACCAAAGAGAACAAGAGGCTTTCTGAGCAGGCTGAGCTGGTCTTAACCTGACCTCCTACTAATGAAATGCCCAATCTCGTCTCTCACTTTTGCTAACCAGACGGGCCTCCTACCGTGTCTGTCCTTTAGATGGCAGCACGATCTCTAACACTTTACTGCCTTTTTTCCCCGAGGTATACAATTCTCACAATCAAAAAGAACTTTAAAGTCGAACTATCTGAAGGAGTGCTGAGGAGTTGGAGAGAAGTTGAGAGCGGACGGAAGTCGTTGAAGGTGAAGATGTGGAAAATGAAGAAACCAGAAGCTGTCTGTGGGATCAAATGTTTCCAGCTACCACATCTATGCCAAAGACAGCACAAGTGGATTATTGTCATCACATCCCACTCACTTGCAAGATTCTGACTGACAAAATTTGCTTGTTCCTTCACTCATTCATTCAATACATACTTATAGACTTCTCACTGTATGCCAGATACAGTAGGGTAATAGACAGTACTAGACAGGAGTACTGAGTACTAGTACTACCAGGGTAGTAGCTAGCACTAAACAAAAGTATTGTCTAGCAGTAGGGTGGTAGACACGGTAGACACTGGGATACAGAGATGGATAAAACAGATCGTTCTCATTTACTTATTCTACCCTCATTGATCTTATATTCTAGTGGAGATAAACAATTAAAAAGTAAACAAGGAAAAAAAATTTTTCTATGTGTGGTGATGGATAGACTTATTGTGGTGATCATTTTGCAACATAAACAAATATCAAATCCTTATGTCATATGCCTGAAACTAATACAATGTTATACGTCAATTACACCTCAATAAAAAAAAGTAAACAAATAAGTATACAATATAAATTTAAGGAGTGATAAGGTCTATGAGGAAAAATGAAACATGGTAAAGGTTAGAAAGGGTAAAGAGAGTGGCCATATTAGACAAGAGTGTCAAGGAAGGTTTTTCTCTGGAGGTGCTATCGGAGCAGAGACCTGACGAAGCAAGCAAGAGAGTGAGTTCCTGAAATATCTGAGGGAAAGGAAGGCAAACGCCGTTGTGTTCACACATCCTTGACTTGTCTGAGGAAAAAGAAGAAGCCAGTGTGGCTGGAACAGGGTGAGCAAAGAAGGAGCAGCCAAAGAGATGAGGCCTTATAGGGCCTTGCAGGCCAAGGAAAAGGTGCTGGGTTTTATCGTAAAGTTTATGGAAAGCCTTTTGAAGGTTTTGAACAGAGAAGTAACGGGGTCTAATTTCAGTTTTAAAGGGATGACTCTGGCTCCTGCATAGAGCGTATCCTGGGTTTGGGGTTGGGGGAGGCAGTAGTGGAAGGAGAGAGGCCAGTCAGGAGGCTGTTGCAAAAGCCAGTGGCAGGATGGTGGTGGCCTGTAGTGGAGGAGGGGACGGAGAGCCAGAAGACTGAGGGACGATTTGTTTCCTGGGAGAGCCAAGAAGGGTGTGGCAGGGAGGGGCCAATAGTTCTGTTCCGGGCAGTTGAGTGTAAGTCTCTATTAGTGGTTCTATTACAGATATCAGGTAGGCAAATGGATACACAAATTAAAGCTCAATGGAGAGGTCAGAAGCGGAGGAAACATGGGAATCCTGTATATGTAGGTAATATTTATAACCAACTAGCTGAATAAGATCACTCAGGGAGCAAGAGTGGATAAAGACCCAGGGACAGAGCCCTGGGGCACTCCAACATTTGAAGGGACCAGCAAACTAGGAAGATAACCCCAGCAATCAGGTGTTCCAGAAGTTGGTATCTCAGTAAGGAGGAAGTGATCAACTTTGTCAAAAGCTCCTGAGATTTCAAGTAAATGAGTACCAAGAACTGATCACTGGTTTTAGCAAGATGAATATCACTGAAAAAGAGAATACCAGGCAAAGGACATTGAGTAAAGAAATCCTGTTGAGGAGTTCTAAAAAGAGGAACAGCGCAATGAGGGAGAAAGTGGAGAGAGATGAGGGTTCTAGGAAAAGCTTTTAAAGATGGGAGATATTTCAGCACACTTGTGTGCTGGTAGAGATGATGCAGGAGAGAGAAGGAAATAATTCAGGAGAAAGGGGAAGGATATTTGCAGGAGCAGAACCAAGTGAGGAGGAAAGCCACTGCCCAAGTGGAGGGAAGGGCCTCAGAGAGAAGCTGGGACAGCGGCTCCAGAAAGGGAAGCACAGTTGACAGACCAGAATCTGGACCCTATACAGATGCAGTGGCCGGAAGATGAGGGAGTTCTCTTCAAATTGCTTCCATCATCTCAATGAAATAAGTAGCAAGATTATCGGCCAAGAGTGAGGTGGGGTAGGGAGTGTTGAAGGTTTAAGGAGCAAGGAGCAAGTCTGAAATTTCCTCTTTGGAATGGGGAAGGTGAATTCGTCAGGGAGAATACAACAAGACTTCTGGAAAGTTCAATAGGCTTACTTGAGGTTTGAGGTCACAGAGTGAAAATGGTACCTGTCAGCACATGTTTAGCTTTTTGACTAGTCACATGAAAACGGATCAGGAGGGTCCCCTGGTTCTCCACAGGCCTCTCTTATCACTCCTCTGGTTTCCTCACTTCCTTAACTTTCTCTCCCCTCCCCACTAACACAAGGGTCAAAATGTAGTGTTTAAAGGAACTTTCTCTGCCACCTTCTCTTATAGCTAGGCACTTGCCCTCTCGATAATTTCATTCACTCTCTGACTTCAGCTATCTTCTCCCAAATCTAGATCGCAATCTCTACCTTCTGTCCAAACGGAAATGTCCGTCTCCTGGACATCTCCATCTGAATCTTCCACTGACTCACAATGCTCAGCAAGCACTACAGCGAGGGACTGGGCACAACCACCATGCAGCTCCACAAAGCCTGCTCTTCATAAAATGCTCTATTTCATTTCATTTCCTCCACCCAACCTCCAAGACAAGAGGCCTTAGAACTATCTTCAATGCCTTTTTCAGTTTTCTTTATTCCCCTATGTCTAAGCAGTTGCCAAGAATTTCTATCAATTCCACTCCCATATTGCCTTTCAAATCTAATTTTAGAATCACTACCCTCATTTATGCTGCTGTTTCTCCTTAAATCTACTAATTTCTACGGTAACTATTATCTTCTTTAAGAAGGGTTTGCTAGTAGTCGCTCGCTGCCCAAAAACTTTAAGGTATCCCTAATAAAGCTTAAAATCCTTAGCCCAGAATTCATATTCTTCCTCAATTTATCACAGTAGACTTTTCCAGCTCTTACCTCCCCTTACTCCCATCCATGGTTGCACAGAATTCCAAACTCTGAGCAGTGCTTCCTCCTACTTTTCCCCCATGGCAACACTCTGGCGCTTACCAATATCCCTGGGGGCATCTACAGTCCCCAGCCCCCTTTGCAGTAAGAACAGAGCCAAGTGATCGGTTCTGCTCATGAAATCTATCACTTCTAGACTGAAGCAGTTGAGAGCCAAGTGCCTCCTCTCCCTCTTTCCTCGCCTGCCAGTCATCTTGGAGGGCACAGGTTCCAAATGGCACAGCTACAAGACGGAGGAAGATTGCCTGACCCATATCAGACTTTTTGTGAGTGAGAAATAAACATATTTTGTTATGCCACTAGGATTTGGGATTTGCCTAATGAAGCAGCCAGTATTACTTACTCCAACGGTCTATCCCTGCGCCTTTGTTTATACAGATGCCTTTGCTAAAATCCTTTTGCTTTCTTCCTGTCCATGATTTCTGGCTATTCAAATCTTCTCATCCTTAAAGGTTGCACTTCCCAAACTCTGGCGTGTAGATTGGCTGGTCCATGAAGAAACTGTACCAAAGTCAAGGAGCCGGGGGAAGAAAAACGACAACGTAGTGAGATTCCATAAAAGCAAATGATTGAACTTAAAAGTACTCTCCTTGGGCTGAGATAACTCTTTTCATCTTCAAGTGCCTTCTTTTATAAAATAATGGTGGTATTAAGCGGGAGAAGGAGGTCCCTAGCCCCTCTACCCCCCATCATTTGGCAAAATAAAGTTTGGCATCTGAGTTTTGTTTCCAATGTTGTTTTCTAGAAGTTATCACTTTATAGTATTCCCAAGTCTGGAAAGCACTACTGTAAAGCATAAGTCAACTTGGCCGGGTGGCCTTCCATTATCCCCCCAGACCCAAAAGGACTCTGATGTCATTTATTTTGCTTTGAGGCTTCACCCTTTCAGTGTATCTCTCTCCTCCTGGAGAGGAAATCCCTTCCGTGATCAACAAAGTGATCTTTCATTATTATCCATACCAAGCAGCTCAGAAAAACGTATGCTGATACAAATGAGAAAACTGAGATCTAGAGAAATGAAATTACTTGGAATTTAGAATTTCTAACATTTACTGAGTGCCAGACATTCTTCTAAGCATTTCACATATATTTACTGATTTCATCCTCAGAGCAAACCTATCTGGGTATGTTACCATCACCATAGCAACTTTGGAGAAAGATTCTGCAGCCTGCCCAAGGTCAAACAGGTAGGAAGTGGTCACTTTGAGGTTAGAATCCCAGTAGCCTGGCTCCAGAGCCCATGCAGGTAACCTCTACTCTCCAGGAGAAATGGGGATGTGACTGTTTAAAATGCAAGCCAGGTCTCCAAGTTCTCTGCTGGCACTCTTTTCTTCCATAGAAGACCAGAGCTGCGAAATCATTTTTTCTACAGTCTATTTTTTAAAGTATTTATAATTTCAAGTAACTTTATCAGAGGATTCAACCTCTTTTGTAATGTTCGATCAGTACTTCAGCATAATTATTTCAGATTTCCCAGTCTACATTTTAATTTTCTCCATACATCTGTTTAGCTGTAGGGTTTTCCTGTTTCAATGGAAAAGGTATTTCTTTTCCACCTATTCCCCGAGAAAAAAAGTAAATTAAATTAAGTTATCGAACATTGTTCGGGCAACTGTGACAGAAACTCAATAAGGTAGGAAATAAGCCAATAACATCAAGCTTCCTTCATTAAGATTTTCAATGCCTATTTGGTCAGGCTTAAATAAAACTGGATTCATCTGACAGCCCTGGATTTTAAACGCAGTGGGTCTCCCCTACAGGTTGAATCCTCTGGATGGTAGGTGTGCCATTTCACATTTTAAAAGTCCAAAGAAAATTTTGGATTTCAAAGACAAGGAAAACACCAGTGCTACAAAAAATCAAGAAAAGAGTGACTGTCCTATCAAAGAGGCCCAAGCTATTTTATCTTAAGGGGGTTTCATATTTTATTCACCTGAGGAAGTCCCTTTTAGAAATCATAGGAAAATTTTATCATTGGACAGCCCTAACATGACATCATTTCCCTAAATATGGATCATAGTGGCCAATATGTATCAAAAGTATATTTTATTATAAGAAAAAATCAGCAAATGTTTAGAGAAAGTCTAAATTACCTGAATTTACACACTTCCTCAATGTCAGTGTGGTAAATATCCCTATTCCCCTATATCAGTGATGGTCCCGAGATGAAGACTCATTTTACACCAGAGAGTGCTCCCAACTCTCTGCCTGCAGACTCCTGCCCAAAAGCCTACTTGCCGCCTCCTCCATGTTTTTCTTCCAAGGACCCATTTTGCAGCACCAATGACTCGCCCTGGGGCTAGCACAGGAGATACCTTGGAACTTTCCTGTTCTCCATTCAGGAGTACAACCCTGACAGCTGAGCCCATAATTTTTAACAACAAAGAGGACCCCTCTTGTAGACCTTTCAGCTTTGATCACATATCAGCTGCCCCTGAATGCCAGACTCACATGGAATTGGGGACCCGGTGTCTTCTCCCATAATACACATCACCTCTCCATTGAAAGACTCCCCCTGCCCCCAGCTACAGAAGATCCAAAAGCATTCGTATTTTGTAGAGAGGGTGACAGACGTCACTATAACCCAAGTAGGCTTCTCGCCTCTCAGTGAGGTTGTTGAACGTCTCTTCTTTAAGAAATATGTTCTTACACTTACTAGGGAGCTGGGGCAGGCTGTCACATACTTTTACAGAAAGATAAAATATTATATTGCCCTATTAAGGAGATATTCTACCAACGGATATATGTGTCACTAATTTGTTTTTTAAAGATTTTATTGTTCCTTTTTCTCTCCAAAGCCCCCTGGTACATAGTTGCGTATTTTTAGTTATGGGTCCTTCTAGTTGTGGCATGCAGGACGCCACCTCAGCATGGCCTGATGAGCGGTGCCGTGTCCGTGCCCAGGATCTGAACTGGCGAAACCCTGGGCCGCCAAAGCGGAGCACCGCGAACTTAACCACTCGGACACGGGGCCAGGCCCATGTGTCGCTAATTTTTAAGAGGGCTTTTTATTTTGTTCAAAGTCACCATCTACACTGATGTTAACCTAATACGTAAACAAAGCAACAACTTCTAGAAATATGTGGGGAAATTCCCAGAAATACACACATCCAGTATTCTACACAAACACATGGTAAATACAACTATATTTACTAAAAACAGATGATATGCCATTTTTCAGTCATCAAGAAGCATTTACAAAATTCAACTATATACTAAGTGAAAAAGAAAACCTCATAAAGCAGAAAGTTCAAAACAACTCCAGACCACAGTTATTGATCATAATGAAACAACAGGAGAAGTTAATAACTAAAGTAAAAACCAAAGACTTGTCAATTTAAAAGCATTCGCCCAAATAACTTCCAGGTGATGATATTTTTAATTATAATATCAGAAGAGGTTTTTGGTATGCATTTTTTAGGCCAAAGCCTACATTTCAGATGTAAACTTTTCAAGGCCAACATTATTCACTATTTACAAAGAAATGTCACCATGGCTAGCCACAGACCTTCCCATGGTTTAATTATTTCCGTTAAAATTAGTTTGGTTTCCATAGAAATCTCCAACAGCTGACCCTTAAGAGGAGCCTGCAGGGGATAGATATATATATGTTATTGCAGACTTTAGGATACATCCAGGATGAGCCTAAAATATGAACTCAGACCCTGTGGTAAGTCCTATTACAAATTCATGACCTCTTTAAAGTGTGTGTTTAAAAGAAGAATCCCCAACTTGAGTGACTTTCTGCTAACTCACACCATTTCTCCCAAATGGTATTACGATCAAGAAAATTGCCTCTAACTCACTCTAAGATAATTTCCCTACAGCATGCTCTTCTAAGCGCAAAGAAACTCATTTAGGCTGTTAATTAAATCTGTCCCCCAAAGATGAGGCAAAGAACATGCAGTGCAATTCTAAATATACCCTCCACGTCCTTCTCAACACCTAAAATATTTTAACATTTCTAAAAGACATACTTACATAGAATCAGCGAAAAATACGGAAGTATTCCTTATTCTCATTCTGAACAGGCCTCCAGAATCAAAAATAAGAGGAACACAACAAACTGAAAAAGAATGGAAGAAAACTATATGATTTAAGGGTCAAATAAAATTATTCTGTGGGCACTTAAAAGCTCAGGCATTTTCAACAGGCTGAGAGATTATTTTCTATAAAGGAAAACATATGTTATCCATACAAATCTTTTCACTAAACCCCAAAGTCCCATCGATTCGCTGGCTATAAAAATTCTACATATGGAAAGAAGGTTTAAAACCACTGAACTTGAAATTCAACGTATGCACATAGACATATGCACATAATTTCCTGGGTGTACAACTTTAAGCAGCATGTAAAATGCCTTTGTGGGTCTTACTTTTTTCAATGTTAAGTGATACTGAGTTTCAGAGCAACAGTTTCATGCCTGGGTTTATACTTTAACAGGATTTCTTATTTTCTCTGGCCACACACAGTTGGAGGAAATTTAATTTGGCCCTAAGAATCTAAGCATGAGACACTAGTGCTTTTATGTACCTCTCAAATAAACTGTACCACCACAAATTTAATCATCTGTAGATCCTTCTACATCAAGGGATTGGGCCCCTGAATAGCCTAAGTGGCAGAGGGGAAAGACGCAGAGGACTCGAAATCAAGTACCTTCACCACGCAGCAAGTGGCTCTGTGATTTAAGGCTCCTAATGATGCTAAATGATACCTCGTCTGTATTAAACGAGAAGAAAGATTTCTTCCCTGCTACCCTACAGGTTTGTTGCAACAGAAGACATGAGAAAATGAAGGGTCAACACTCCAGAAGCGCAGGCTCTCTGCTAGGCACCAGGGAAGTAATGATGAATAAGACATGGGTCCTACCTTGTAGACTTGTAAGAGCTTCCTACATTGCAAAGCACGATGTACACGAAGAGCATCATCATGGACCACTTGCCCCCAAACAAGCGTAACTCCCCTCCCCCAACAACGGTCAAGGAATCTGATTCACAGTTTGGATCACTCTGCTCCTCGGTCTGAAAGGCTTTTCTCCAGAATTCTCCAGGACTCACTGCCTCATCTTCCCAGCCACTCACCAGCCCTCACCCTTCTCCCAGGTCTCGACTTGGACCACACCTTCTCAACAAAGCTGCCCCGACACTCAATTATTTTGTTAATTTTTAAATTTAATAATTTGATATGAATTGTTTATATAAGTTTAATACCTTAATTAACTATTTTGTTAATTATTTTTGTAACTGTAGATTTGGGGGTTTTGGCTGTGTTTTGCAATGCAATCCTATTGTTTTAATTTGTGCCTATTTAAAATGCTATTATTTTTATTTATTTAACTTTTTATTGGGGCGGTTTTCAAACATGCACAAAAGTAGAGCAAAGAGGTTAATGAACCCCCACATACTTGTCACTGTGCTTCAACACTTAACACATCGCCTCCTTGTTTCAGCTATAACCCCTTCCTGAGGCCCCGGCCCAATTCTAGACTATTGTAAAGTAAATCTTAGACATTTTTCACCATAATAGCTCTGTATACTTTACCATAATACATCTGTATATATCTCTAAATGATAAAGGCTTTCTGTTATTAAAAAAATCACAATTACATCATCACACCCAAACCTCACACTCTGTTTAAAATCACAGAACCCCCGGCACATCCTCCCTCTGTACTTCATTTTCTCTATTGCCTTGTTGCTGACTGCCTTACTATACATTGTACTTATTTATTCACGTCTGTCTCACCCACTAGAACATAACCTCCCTGAGTGCAAGTATTTTGTCTGTTTTGTTCCCTGCTGTATCCCCAGTATTTATAAAGGTGCCAAACCCATTCAAGGCCCTCAATAATTTGTTTCTGAATAAATGAACCCATCGAAGTCAAAAGAACAGCTTGGATGCATATTATGAACTTAAGGCAAGACTCTATCCTGACTGGAAATGTCCGCTAAGCTTTTGACAGGAGCAAGATTGCAGACTATGCAAATTTGCTCTTTCCAAGGAAAGCTGAGATACTGTATTCCTATGTAATTGCTCAACAGTGTATTCACCCCGATGTTACCCCCAAAATATCGCACATCTGTGAGCTGCCAGGCTGCCTTCTCTATGAGGAAACCAGTAGGGCAGCAGCTAAGAGCAAATCCTTAGGAATCAATTCAAGCTGGATTAATATCTAAGTTCTACTGGTTACAGGACCTTCAGTAAATTAAGTAACCTGAGAGTCAATGTTTTCATTTCTAAAATAAGGTAAAAGAGTGAAATGAGAGCATCTGTGTAAAGCATTTAGCACAATTTCTGGCATTTTGCAGCAGTCAAAGCAGCATAATGATCAAGAATGGAGTCAGACTACCCGGGCCAGAATCCCAGCAATGCCATTGACTCCGGGATCTTAGGCAAATTTTTAAGCTTTCTTTACTTCTATTTCCTCATCTATAAAATGGAGAAAATAGGGAGCTGGCCTGGTGGCGTAGTGGTTGATTTCACGTGCTCCACTTCAGCAGCCTGGGGTTCACAGGTTGGGATCCGGGGCACGGACATACGCACCACTTACTAAGCCACCCTGTAGTGGCATCCCACATATAAAATAGAGGGATGTTAGCTCAGGAACAGTCGTCCTCAAGCAAAAAAAGAAGAAGATTGGCAACAGATGTTAGCTCAGGGCCAATCTTCCTCATCAAAAAATAATAATAATAAAATAAAATGGGGAAAATATTAGTACCTACCTCATAGAGTTACGACGATTAAAAGCATTACTCCCTATCAGGTGCTTAGAACCTCATCTAACACATTATAAATTCTCAATAGGTGTTAATTATTCATTAATTTTAACTATGCATGTCATTCCTCACTTTTCCCAACATATTTCCAAGCCAACTTTCCATATTCCACAACCCCAGACATTACTCACTTAACAGGATATTAAAATTAACATTTCCACTGAGATCGCAAGAAATAACAATTGTAAAACTTCAAAAAGAGATGCCAGGTGATCATACCCAAAATTTACAAATGAAAACTCTCAGAATTGGTTTCCCATGAGGAAGAGAGCCAGCTTTAAACATCTATCAGGCCTGGAGAGAGTGAAGCCAACCAGCCACAGAAAGCTCTTACCCTCTAACGAGGAACACATCTAGAGAGTGGCGGAGGATGGAGAGTAACTGAAGAACCTGACCTTGCTTCCCTTTAGAGACCGCTAGTTCCTTCCCACCTGCTCCAGACCAAGCTACGGTGGAGAAAGGAGCCCATAGGAGACCCTGGCTAAAGGATAGATGAGAAAGAGTCTTATCTTTGAATGAAGACTGAAATGTAATGAATACATTAAACTGAACACTTGTAAATACAGAATTGGGACTGCGTGTATGCAGCCTCAAGTAGGAAAGTCAATTTACTCAGGGCAAGCAGAAAAGTCACAGCCCTCAAGGGTTCTCATCCTGAGGCAAGGGGATTTTACCCCACTGAATAAATTATACAGGGTCAGTAGGAGACAAAAATAAATCTGTGTTTAGTTGACATCTTACGTATTTGCTTACTGAACATACAAGCTATCTTTAAGTCGCACTTGCCTCCTGTGTCCCACCATCCCTGCATGTGGTTTAGGAATGCCCCGGTAACCCTCACCCTACCTGCGTGCTCTCAACCTCCATCTCCATCTAACCACAGCAGATCTTAGACTCACTTTATGTCATGTCCACCATAAAGCTTTAGCCACCCAAAGCTCCCCTCTATTCCAGCAGAGGGCATATGCACATGCCTCATTGTCTGCACATATGCATCCCTCTGTTTGCAATGTCCTTTCCCCTCTTCTGCACCTGGTGAACACCTACAAGACATCATCAACAAGGGCATCACCCTAGTGGACCCTTTCCCAATCTTCTTCAGATAAATTTACCTCTGCCTCCCAGAGGCATGTTGTATGTGTCCCCATTACATTTTTTTTTAAAGATTTTTATTTTTTCCTTTTTCTCCCCAAAGCCCCCTGGCACATAGTTGTATATTCTTCGTTGTGGGCCCTTCTAGTGGTGGCATGTGGGACGCCGCCCCAGCGTGGTTCGACGAGCAGTGTCATGTCCGCGCCCAGGATTCGAACTGACGAAACACTGGGCCGCCTGCAGCAGAGCGCGTGAACCCAACCACTCGGCCACGGGGCCAGACCCCCCCCATTACATATTTTTTATACTGCATTGGGTGGTGTGACCACCTCACTGGGCTGAAGGATCCATAAGGGCAGGGTCTTCTTCATCTAGGTAGGCTCATTAACTAGCGCTGAAAAGGCTCAATCTGTGTTGACTGAATTCAAATAAGGCATTTTGTCTTATTCATAATGTTTAAGTAGTTCTTTTCATAATCTTTCCAGTCATTTTTCATCTTTAATATTTCATACCCGATATAAATCAAATATTTCCAAGTACAACATCATTACATTTGATTTCTGGATGAAACACAAAATCTTCTAAAAATGAAGATCTTCTAGAAGAGTCAGATAGCAGTGAAGAGTTCCATTTCAGAAGACTTTGTCATCCGTTTCTTTTCTCACGGCTGGGGAAGAGCTCCACCAACAAGGACCTCATGCCCGCAAGAGTCTGATGCGACGGTCCTTTCCATTTGGAAGGCAGCACATGCTTCCCCTTCCTCTCAGACTTTTGTCCAGAAGCAACAAAGCAGATAGCCTTTAGATACAGAAAATTTTCTCTGGTTTGTGTTGGGGATCCCTGCACAGATTTCTCTTTCATGTGCCTTCACAGCATTTTCTTGTCTGGCCTTAAAAACCCCTGGAGATACTTCATAAGACTCAACAGACAAAGGCAAGGTCAGCACATTCCAACCTGATTGAAGAAAGAGAACAGATGATGTGCACATTTTTCCAAGGCCACATGTACCTTTTTTCTGCTTAAAGGGTTACCAACTAGGGGAAGTTGAGCCTTTACTAAAAGTGAACAGTTTCCATAAGTCCTGCTAATAGTCAACTGATTAACTCCTAATTTGAAAGGAAGTCAAGACACTGCAACCTACATGATATTTACACTTGCTTTGTCATTGCGGGAAAAAATAATAAATCACTAAAGATAG